TAGGCTTTCTCTGTAAAGTTTATTGGAATAATTGAATGTGCTGAGATGGATGGAACCTTTTGACAGATGTGGATCGATTGGTTGGATATAAGGGCTTTCAGGTGGGCTCTTACTTTGAGTGTTCTCGTTGTGGAGTGAGGAAAGACTTCTAAAACTCCTGTCTTGATTGTGAAAGGAGGTGTACGAGTAAAGAAATCGAGGGGTTAAAACTTCATCTCTGCTGGAATAATAAGAGGGGTGCTATTAGTATCTACCGAAAGCTAACCAGGTTTGTAAGCTGGTGGCCAAAGGAGTTGAAATTAGACGAGCTTCCTCTGTCATGACCTTTTGTCTTTCTCAAATGCAATTGTTGTACATTCTCCACGCATTTGCACGAGACGAAGGGCATAATGACACAAAAGGATAAGGTAAGAGGGTTTGAAAACAAAAGGAAAATACTGAGATGAGTTTAGATTGTTGTCAGAAATAGAACGAATTTTGAGGTGGTATTTGTTTTTTTCTGAATCGGAAACATTTGAGCTAAGTAACATTTCTCTATGCTGCGTTGCTGGTTCTTGTCTATATATATATATATATATGTATATATATGATAAAGGAAGAGATAAGAGACGCTAAAGGAGAATAATCGCTGAGTATGGAGTGGTAATATTAAGGTTGTAAATGAAATCAGAGTTACAGACCTGCACCAATCATAACACAATTGAAAACATCGTAACTAGAGCTTCGATCAATATGATTTCCTGGAGTCGAAGCATAGATGATAAGTAGCATCTGCTTTAAATATATGAGCAATTGGAATAATTATTTTCTATATACGATGATTAGAGTTCTCAAGGATCTCCATGAATTATGATGCAAGGAAAGTCTAGAAAAATATAACAGTAGATTTGGATCAGAGAAAACACAAAATGTTCTCAATTCACAACAGAAGTTTTATCTAGGCGCTCAAGCATTTTTGTTCAATATAGAAATTTTAATGCAATAACATAGTTGATCAGCTTCATACTTTTGTTGAATGTAATGAGTTTATCAGGTTTACTACCTCAAATCCTTGAAGCTAAAGAAATATTTACAGACTCCATCTAAAAGGTGACCTTTCTTCGATAGTAAGGTTAGTAACAAAATTTAGAGAGGAGAACCTTTGAATAATTTAGTCTTCTTTCATCTCCATTTGCTGGATATCATTTATCATCCCTAAACTAGAAACAAGATTTTTATCGCAAGAAGAAGTAGTACTTCAATGTCACCAATTGAAATGCCTTCACATGTTTTCTCTGTACGAAATGAAAAATGACAAAGTCGAAGTCTGAAAAGTCCCACTTTCTTCCTTTTTAACTCTTGGAATCACGTTTCGGTCACTCCGAATCTAAAAGTGACTCTTTACAACTTGTCAGAAGGACTTTGACATGATAGTTCTTTAAGTCAATAAAAAGTGGATCTTTTTATCACCTATCATAAGTCTTTGCCCCTCAACCATGCTCTTCTTCACAACAAGTTCTGCATATCATAAGCAAGCATTTGAAAAACCAACTCGATCTTTGTAAGCTTCGATCTCTCTTTGCAAGCACCTTGTCCAGATTTTGATGATTTCATGCTCAGGTTATTCTAGAAATCTTAAATGACATTCACGTCATAGCTTTCATACATCAACACAAACTCCATGTTCATAAATGCATGATTCGCTTATCGCAGCTTGAATAGATAGCTATGAGGTAGGGGTATCCATCACTCCCACTCTAGCATATTCAACTTTAACCAAGTCAAGAACAACCTCAGTTAAAACTCTCCACGTCCTCTATGAGCTCTATAAAATCATATATTCTAATATAATGTATTTTACAATTTGCACAACCACAATGAGCTTCTCTATCACTAAAGACGAACACCTTATCCAGGTCTAAACTTAAAAAAGTGCTATCCAATGAAAACTCTTTCAGACTCTTCGTTCAATTTATGTTTATTTATTTGTGCCTGAATCATTTAATTGTGAGAAGTTAGATCTTGTTAACTAAAATCAATATAAATCTATTCAGTCGGGTTAAGTTAACATGTAACAGAAACTGATAGTAAAACTACCTGTGTTCCTGTGAACTTAGACTCTTTGGAGGTGAACCCTGTACCGGTTGTGTAGACTCTTTGTGTAAATGACTGTCATTGTGGATGACGACAACACTCGAGGGAAAAAACTAACTTCATAACCATCTCTAACTCCTAAGACATCATGCAACCATATTTTTCACGTCATATCTTTCAAACACAAACACCATGTTCATTAATGCATGCTTCACTCATCAAAGCTTGAAAACATGGATACCCCTACCTCATAGCTATGAGCTAGGGGAATCCTTCACTCCCATTCTAACATATTCAACTTCAACCATAAAAAAATAACCTCAATCAAAACTCTCCACGTCCTTTATGCCCTCTAAAAATATTTTTTTCAGAATGAAACCTAACCCATACGTTATAAAATAATGTCATTTACAATTTGCACATCCAAAGTGAACTTCTCTACCACTTTAGATGAAGACATTTTCCAAGTCTGAAATTTAAAAATTGATATCCAATGAAACCTACATGAAAATCTTTTCATTCAATCCTATGATTTGAACTGGGCCCAATATGTTTAAATTGTTAAAAAATGATTCAAATCTTGTTAACTAGAATTTCTATAAGTCTAGTTAGTTTTGCGAACGTTAGCATGTCAAAATATGAAAGAGCTGGTCATCTCTCTGAGTAGCAAAAATTTACGATTTCAATGAAACAATCTTTGTGTTCATGTGCAGAAAGCCTCGTCGATGTACGAATTGCGTCCGAATTGTAATGGTTGTGTAGACTCTTTGTGTGAATGACTGTCATGGTGTATGCGGACAACACTAATGGCACACAAACAACGAACTGCGTTACCATCTCTAACTGCTAAGACACCATGCAACAAGTATGTAAGGAACATGCACATAAGTGATGAGAACATGTTCACTCTAGAATGAACTACATAAAGATGACCGCACTTAAGTATGACACTGACACATAAACATAACCAAAGATAATGGATGTTAATGAGAACACGCGAGTAGAGGGGATGGGCTGGCATTACAGAAGCGTATGGACTCACCACTGATAAAGTCCAGATCTTCATGCTCATGTCAATTAGCCGTTCACGCATTCGAGCAAGACAGAGCGTCCAATTCACAAGGTCGGTCACAATGGCAGTGTTGGACGATAACACTGATGGCAGTTGGAAGGGGGAGGGCTTCAAATCAACTCACGGCAGAAACAACGAGGATGGATTTCAGCAGAACGTTTGATATTATCGATAGTTATCGCGTTCCTGACAGCATCTACTCGTCCGCTGTCGCTAGAGATCTCACCTCAGCGTTCGCTGAGCCTGAAACCGAGTTGGGAATCCTGTAGTCTGAGCAGAATAATGATGTGCGCACGTGAAAACCAGGTGCAGGTACTCTCCATCTGCACTGGAACAAGACGTGCGACCCGATGCCCAGGTTCAGTTCTGTGACGGCGTACGAGGAAGCAATCAATTTTTAAGGTTCGAGGTATCAGGGAGTTATGGGAGCTGCACATGGGTTCGCGGAGGTCAATCTCTTCAAAAGTTTGATGACTGCAACAATGGAGCCACACGTATGATTGCAGACGTCGTCAAAACCTCAAGGAGACATTGTATACACTATGCGGAGAAAAAGCTGATCCGGTAGGACCTTCATGTTGCAGAGACGAGACGTAGGACAGTGCGACCGCCTAGACTTAGTTTGAGGATACCTGGAAGTTGCCCTTGTCTCACAGTGCTACTCGACATTTCTCGACATCACTTGTCAAAAAAGTGATACCCCAATCCTTAGCGTGAAGACATAGTGAATATTGTACGTGTTGCAGACTAGAGCACAGTTGCGACCGCCAACCATCAGCAGAATATAATTCTGCTTATGGGCATGCATGCACCCTTGTTCTGCACTGCACTGTTCTGTACAACAAACCTTTAAGAAGGGCATCGCTCTCGTCTAGTCTAGACATCGTATTCATTCCATAAACTGGACATACGAGCATGATCATGTCCATAGAAAATTTGTAGTAAACCAAAGATAGATCTTATTTTTCTCATGTCAAAAATATGAGAAAAATAAATCGAAAGTTGGCCGTATGCCCTAAAAGCTGCAATAATGCGGTCCCACATACAAAGAATTACGTATAAGGTCGTCTGCAAATGTTTGCACATGGTCTCATATGAGCTCATTTTTGAAAATTGTGATGGTTCAAGGGAATGTGTTTGCAGAATATGGACATCATCAGACTGGCGAAAGAGATCATGTTGGGTATCAGACTCAGGATTTTCAGCTTCGCCTTATTTACCGGGCCATATGACCAGTGACCTTTTTCGCGAGTCATGTTGTCCACTTATTCTATCCCGTGTGTGTAATAACAGGGAACAAGAGATGGACACGGTACGGTACACATGTCTCAGAGTTCTAATCTAATTCATTTAGGTCTTCACTTCTCGACATGAACCGCCACGACAGCTGCATGGTCTAATACAATAACTTTGCAGAAAGATAGATACAGCCAACTTTGTACGAACTGCGAGTTCTAATGCCACGCTGGTTCAGCATGCAAACAGTCTTTATCAATGGGCTACAGACTGGTGTTCATAGCTCATGTCGCCATCTTTTTTAGCGGGCATGTAGATGGTCCGAGTATGGACATGAAGTACGTTCTTTCTGTCACCTCGACGTTGAGTGAGGATGTATATACTTCAACAACTTGGTGGATTGGGGATTTGATCATTCCTACTACGACTGTGAATCAACATCATGTTGTCTGTAAGTAGAAATAACTCAAAGGCATATTATGCCTCGCATTCAGTGATGCAGATCAACAAGCAGACGGGCAGGTGAACAGACAAACCCTTTTACCATTGTTTTATGTTTAGATCAAAAGCCAGCTGAAAAATCTTCTTCAAATTCAAATATATTCTCAAGACTGACGTCCGTAAAGGATACTGTGACTTGGAAGGAAAACCCGTAGATAAGTCAGCTGGATACATTGCTTTGGTGGATACACGCATCCAGCTCAGCAATGATAAGGCAACCTGCGCTGGACTGAATACAGCTGAACGGGTGAGTTATAGATGGCGTGCACGAAAATTACTTCATTGTCTTGTTCATACATAACCTTGTCTAATCGTTCTGAATCAGTAGTCCTTGATGTGGCTTCAAGCGGTGCTGTGCATAGGTTAGAATGAGTGCAAGAACTAATGTTTGCATGTTGAAGTATGCTCTATTTCGATATAGTACTCCTTGCATTATTAAGGTTTCTGTTTTGCAATATTTCAAGTGGAATGGGGTTCTCCGTTAGAAGCATGACGAGTTCTGTGAGTGCTTGTAATGGAAAACCAGATTCCACTTGAAATGCTGCTCAAGAATATGGTCGAAAAGCTTTATGGATTGGATATGCGTTTGCCAATGCAAACTTTACGATCCATAGGCAGTGCACCTGCAGCCAAGACGACCTACATCCATGTCCAACTTCATAGCAAACGTTAAGCTCACCGTGCACTTCGCAACCCTTCGCTGCAAACCCTGTGGTCCTGCATTGTAAAGGTAACTGTAAGCTGTCGGTACACCATGGTCAGGGGAGTCTCACAAATTTGCATCAGCAGAAATCTACTCCAGAATACTGAGCTTGGCTTGTACCGATGTGAGGTGTAGGATTTACTGGCATAGTGTGCTTTCAGACGAACATCAAAAAGTGTCGACCATGCAAACGTGATACAAGCTAGGTCGTGGAGACAGACGTCTGACGCACATGACACTAAGCAGCATCAGGAGAAGTAGATCATGAGCGGGTCAAATTGTAAACTCCTCGAAGGCAACAGCCATCCGGACTGACCAGAACATCAGCTGCGTCATCGGAGTGGAAATGCCAGCGATTGTGTTCTGGGCTGTCGAGACCTTACCTGGAAAAACTCAAGGGAGAGCAGCTTCAGTACTTGCTCGGGGTCCAAACTGGCTGCGAGTCAGGCAGGCAGGCAGGCCGCAAATGTCTGAAGGATCTTACCGGCTACTGTTGGCGTGACTCATGCATGCTGTGGCAACAGGTCGCTTGGCATTGAAAATGTCTTCCCCTCGTCCAGAGTGCACATGGTACCAGCTGAAGTCACATCCTGGCCTTCGTCTGATCACAAGGCGTTTGTCGGCCTGGCATGTCTACCTCAGGGTATCCGGATTGCTCGTGATCACTCGGGGGCGGAGAAGAGGAGCAGCATCAACACCAGCAGCAGCAGCAGCAGCTCTTCGAGCCAACGCTGCACTCGTTGGCAGCAGACTGCGACACTATGGGTACCCGAACCAGCTCAGCTCATATAGCAGCAGCCTTGGCTCCAGGCCCCAGGAGCATCAAAGGATTACCACGAATCTCTACCCAGAAGTGAAATATATATACAAAAGGCTGAAGTCCTGGCCCTCAGGCCAAGTTCTGCCGACGATCTCCGTCTCAGAGCCTCCTCCACCACACACGGCTCGTCCGAGATCCGGGCGGCCGTCGGAAATCCGACTGCGAGATAGTTGTTGTTGCCGTCGTCGCCGTCGTGGCCGGGGACCGGGTTTGCAGAAGCTGCAGCTCGGACCGCCAGTCCCCGACGGCCTCGAAATCCTACACCCGCTTCCTACCACCGCCTTCTGCTGCAAAAATTCGGACACGTGTGTTGGTGAGCTCTGGATTACACACGCTTCTTCTCTGGCCTACCAATGGGCGATGGACATGAGCATGTTTGGTGAGTTCCGAGCATTCGCTTTTGCATCTAGGACAGGTTGCCATGTCGTGGTGCTCCCTACATGTGTTTGGTGAGAGCTTCTTACACACTCGACACTTCTAATTCTATTCCCCATCCAACATCGAGGTCACAACGCCGTCAGTTCGCTCGCACCAACAGTGCCCCCTCAGCTCTCATAATGCTCTCACAAACTGGTTGTTAGAAACTTCGATGCCGAGTTGGCTGGTGAGGTGAGCCTCAAGGCTCCAACCAACAAATCTCGTCAGCTGTTTGGCCGTCTGGCTCCGGCTCTTGTCCTACCAGTCTGCCATGCCATTAACGGTAAATCGAGTCTCGACGTTGCACTGTCTCGGCTGCTGATGGCTGAGATTTCGGCACAGGTCCACTTCTATTCTCAGGAAATTCGGTTCTAGAACCGGGTGCAATGTTAGAGCTCGGCTAGATCGTCCGTTGGAAGTGTGGTGGGGGTGAATTTTTTCGTGCCTTGGTTGCTCCTGTCCCTATGGTGTCTACAGTGTGCTGCTTTAGGTGCTTGGCGCTTTTCGGTGATCTTCATGATGTGAGGCAATAGCAATCCTTGTCTCGTGGCTGCTGCAGTCGCTACTGCTGCTGCTGCTGCCATCCGAGGGGTGAGACTCCAGCGTCCACTGATTCTCTCATCGTGCGGTTGGGTACGTGGAGATAGAAAATCTGCTTCTCTTTACTTTCCTCCCAGTCTCTGCCAACTGCAGACCATGGATTGTTTGCTCCCTCATGACGGCTGGTTCAGCTGCGCAACGCGAGAGCAGTCCGTTCGAATCATGCTGCACCGAATCTCTAGTACAGGCGCAGACGGCTCACTTGCCTCTGGACACTCTTAAGGACGCACGCTTTGGATAGTACACGAGTATATCGTGCTGAAGATCTCAGGTGCTTGTCATACAAATGTAGCCCCTTGCCTGCTGTCCCATCACATTATTGACTCTCCAACTCAAAATTTCTTCCTATCCCGGGCTCAGCTTATACAGAAAGCGAAGCGTTTGTGAGATGGTCTCGGTTTTAGAATTATCTGCAGCTGCCTCGGTCAATACTCGAGAACTGAGTCCCTCGTACAAATCGGTTCTCCATTCACTGACGGACACTAATGGTCGCCTATGGAAAAGACAAGTGTATGCAAGCGTAAAAGATGAGCCCCGAAGACAACTCGTCTGATATCTGCACAGGTCTTGAGCCCAGACCGTCGCCAAATAAGTATGGCCAGTGACTCGAATAAATACAGTCCGCTCCATGAATTGGATTCTAGCCATACTTTGCAGTTACCCACACTCCTGCTGCCTTTGTCGAGGGATGCTGTTTTCGCCATCTCTTCGAATAGAGCACACATCCCCTTACGTGAACGCCGCTTTACCATGAACTTCGGTGCTGCTGTAAACCCCCCAGAATTTGCATGAGCGAGACCAGCAGCTGGATATGGGTCTTCCATGATTCCAGGCACTATATTCCATTCCCATTCATTGTTACAAGGACGTTGCACTACCGACAGTGGTAACGTCAAAATACCTCATCGATCGGCGTGCAGGAATTCGCTGAACCATTGTTCTTTCATCCACATTGTTGGAGAATTACCGCAAGGACTCTGGTGCCATAGTTGAGAAGGTGATAAGTGGCCCAGAACATTCTCTGCTGAATCTCGCGGCCGAGCCTGTCGATCGATATTCATCTGCGCCATCGTTTCAAAGCTAGCGTGACTTTGGAGGCCAGGCTGTTGACCAGGTCGTGTCAGGGAGGACGAAGGTTGGAAGGTGCATACACATCCTGGTGTGTTGCTCATCAGGCGTACGTATTCTGGATTTTCTTTTCTTTTCTTGAGTGACTAGCAATTTTTGTAGTTATCATCCGTCCAAGAGATTTTGATAATTTTAAGGTTTCCTTTGTCAATTATTAGACTCTGGATTTTATTTTCCGTTGAGATTGTTTGGAGCTGAATGATTAACCTGAATGTGGACGATTAACCTTCATGCCCTATGCTTTTGCTAGTGTCGAGAAATGACCGTGGCCAAACCAGCTGCCCTTTAAAACTCTCCGGCGTAATATTTGGCGTTCGTTGTTGTCCTCCACCGATAGCTTGCCAATTGGTCTGCAAGCGATTCGACGTTATCATGTACTACATACGGTCTGATCATTTATGCTATCTGTGAGAAAACATTACTTGAACAATAACTGGTGCTCTTGGAAAGATTCAGATATAATAATTCAGTACTGCGTACTGACGATGCTCACTCACTATCGAATCTGGACTTCTTTCACGTTGTTCTTACTATCGCTGTGTCAGTACTGCGTGCTGGGCGTCAGGATCACAAGATTTACCAAGTTTGCAAAGACGGACAAATCAAGAGGGAAACAGTACTCGCAACTACTGTTACTATGCATAGTCGCCAGGTCACCAACTCGTGCAATCTTACCCACCAAACCAACGTAGCAGACGTGATCGGGACGAGTCGGACTTGATCATATTCAGACGCGTGCATCTTCTAGATTGGAGACTGGGCAGTGCAGCTGGAGTTAGTTTATTTTCAAATTCAGAAAAAATATATGTTTACAAGAATTCGAGAAGCAATACGCTTCCACTGCTAACATCCACACGAGGACTTGCACAAAGTATGCACCTCATGGATCTTATAAAGTGGAGAACTACGAGCAAACAATCGAAAGCCGAGACGCAAGCAATGTCAAGGCGTTTCAGCACCTATATTACAGGCCAGCGGTATCGCGGGACGACTGGCTGACTACCCCTTGTCAATCAAGGAGACGAAGCACGAAGAATCTATCTGAGAAACGTCTCATTGGGATCTCACTTCTATCATCTATCTATCAGTGCCGAGGATTTGGCTCAATCAGAGTAGCATGTCTATGTATATGTCATTATCCTAGCGGTAGCTTATGTGCAAGAACTGCACACAGCATCACCTGTCACGACGGACTTGTAAAGGAAAACTTGCGCCTTCCCTTTCATGTTTCACCTGAATCCAAACCTATTTACTTCGGGCTAGGAACGCACATTAGTAGCGTCGTTGAAATTTTTAAAAGGCATTCTCAAAATCTCAGCTCCGAGTTTCACATCGAGGTCATTCTCGAAGCCCAGTCCTCGCCTTGCTCGACCTCCTGGAGTGGTCATGGGAGAGAATTCTCGTTGCTGATGTACAGAAGCACTTTTCATCTCTGCCCCGTCTGTCGTGTAGCATTTACTCGAGACGGGCCTAGAAGGGGTTCTACTCTGAGGCGTAGATTTCGTTACAGGAGGGTTATCAGTAGTGGTTTGGTTTCCAGCTTTCTTATTCTCATCGTTCTCACCTACAGGTATTTTCACTCCAGCAGCCTTCTTGTCTTTCGCGGCCTTCCGTAAACCATCCATTTCACTGACATGGGTGTTGAACTCCTTATGCACCACTTCGAGAACAATATCACCGTATCTGTCGCACCAAGACCTGCAGAAGAAAGGTCCAGCTTACAGAATCAGTAAGCAAGATACGTGTTACTTCTTGTTAAATTTTCATGGTCAAGAGAAAGCCTAATTATCTTCTCACCTAAATTGTCCTGCTTTAACTATTGGACTGTTGACAGTTAGCGAGGCTCGACTTCGCATCCTTCGGCCTCGTCCTCTTGTGACTGCTAGTGTTTCCTTCTAGACCAGGGACCACATATATTCTAATCTTGGCCCATCGTTTCACTCGATTGCCTTTCTTCACACAACTTGAACCTTCAGCGATGAGGCGGCGTCCTCTTCTATTTTACGAATGCTAGTCCACTAAAAGCTGGAATAACTTACCTGGGAAAGAAGCGCATGAGCTCCGTTTTGTCGACAGGCAAACGGGTTGCGATGGCATCAATTTGGTCGTTTCTGAAAAATGCCCAGAATTCATGTGTTAAACGTCGTACCTATGCTGTCGTGCACGTCTGCAATTCTAGGCGGAAGTCAGCTACTAGCTTCCATGTCTTTGAAAAAATGCACATGAACTGAGTCCAAACGAACTCACGTGAAAGCTTGCTCCACGGGATTAGTTCGTGCCAATTCGGCGCGTATCCTAGCGAGTTCAGTCTTAATATTGTCGCCCAGCACCTGCAAGCAATTCCACGTGTTACAACTTTGCCACGCGACAGCTTTCTAGCTTAAATAGAAGGGAGACAAAGGGCATATTGAAGGCATGACAAATATTATGTCTACAAGGCAGTAGAGATTCTCTGGACCGGCTGATTCCAAGAGTTTTTAGCATACCTGATCAATGAAGAAGTTAGTCGGAGCTGCCCTGACGGCCACCTTCTTCTTGAGCTTTTTGATGTCCGGCCCTTGTCCATGGATGTACCCACCCTTAATCTTATCGGAAGGATAATTGTCAATGGCTTTCAAGAGGGGATCTTTGTCAGAAATTTCCTTGCCAAAGTCGTCATCATCGTCTTCCTGCTGCTTCTTAGAAGAGGCAGGTCTCAACAAATCCAGCTTTTTCCAAACGCTGGTTTTCCTGGGCGTCCTCTCCTTCTCGTCATCAGAGTCGGCATCCTCATCGCAGTCTGATTCCTCCTTCTGCCCTTCTGCAGTCTGCCATCCTTGCCACTTGCCAAACATGCCAGTGAACTTCCGACTCAGGGATCTCTCGGGCTTCGCCACGACAGGCGAGGAAGAGGAGTCTATTCTGGTGGACTGAGAGCGGCTGAAGCCCACAGTGGTCTTAGAAGGAGTGAGGGTGGATTTGGAAGGAGTGAAAGTGAGCTTCCTCGGTGGCTTCAGAAGAGACTTGGACTGCTCAGCGAGAGTGGCCGAGGAAACTGAAGGTGGGCTAAGGAAAGAAGCGATGCTGGGAGAAGAAGGGACAGAGCCAGGGCTTTGGGGCATTTCTACGTCTTGAGTTTGGGAAGCATTGTTGGACAGCTCGGGGAGCAGATCTCTAGTGGACCCGGTGCTGGCATCGAAGTACAGCGGCGAGTCCAGAGGGACGTCCTGAGGCTTCTGCACGGCGATGGGAGCGTCACGCGTGGGGCAGTCGAAGGGGTCGCGACGAACGAAATCTAACGCGTGAGGAACCCTGGGCTTCTCCTCGCTGCCTGCGGTGCCTGCTGGAACACTCTTACCCCCACTGCCCACAGTTTTCAGTCGGGCCATAGCCTCCATCACATGCTTGATCGGTGTCTTCTTGGCTGATCCTGAGTTCGCGGGCACGTCACAAGGCGATTCTGCCTCTGGAGCTTGTGCGACCTCGGCTACGTTCCTTGTGGACTCCATTTCTGCTCTTGACGATGATTCGCCAGTATGCCTCACTGCTTTCGAGTTGAACTTGAAGTCCTGCGAGTCGAGCTCTGCTCCTTGATCAGCTAGCCGTGACAGAATTGGCCGCTTCGCCTGGTGATACTCCTCTTCCGAGATACATTTTGATTGGAAAAGATCCTGGACACACACCACCGACGGAAAAAAGTCCCAAGCTCTGAGTTGCTGCATTAAACAGTAAGCAGCATCTGAGCAGCATTCATCCCCTCTCGGAATGCGCAACCTTTCTAACAGATGACGTGCGTAAAGAACCCCTCGTATCCACTCTCTCTCTATATATCTCCCTCTCTCCCTTTCTCCCTTTCTCCCTTTCTCCCTTTCTCCCTCTCTCTCGATCGACACTCCATAGATCACTACCTAATGATGTCTTTATCGGCCTGTAGAGATTGGATCCTCTGCAGTCTCCACTCTCGTGTATTGACGTCTACTACAGTATTCACACATGGGTCAGAGGCACAGAGAGTCTTTGATCTCCTGCTTTCACAATTTCTTTCAGCATGTGCATGACTAGCGGCATTGAGAATTGCGATGATGAGTGATGAGTGATGCTGTGTCCATACTTTGGACACTCGGAGAAAATGAATTTTTAAGAGGGCTTGAAAACAAGTGCACAGGCTTTGACTGAAAGAGAGAGGGAGGAAATCGGGCCCGAATCTCGATATTACCCAGCCACGGTGATCAAATCGACACGGGTCCCTACCTGCAGAAACAGCAGCTTGTCGCGGGTAAAGTCAGCCCACTCTCCATTTGGGTGCGAAGTAGTCAGAGTGTGCAACAGTTCGGCACGAAACGCATCCAACTCCGCTTGCTCGCTCAGTCCTTCTTCGACGAGACACATCATATTCAAGATACGGTGGAACATTTCTTGCTGCCATTTGATCAGCTCTGTTAGTTGGGAGCTCCTGTTCACCGCCGCTGCATTCGGCATCAGCATTTTCCTGAACGACATCGATCGGCATTTCTGCAGAAGCGGCGTCATGTTCTTCAGCACCGCCGTCGCTGACTCCTGTGACACCCGGAAGATAATCTCATTAATATTTATGGAGGTCGAATTCATTCACTCACCCAATCGTATCTACACCGCGACCGAGAGAAGAAGATTCTGTCGACCACGTGACAGCGTTTGGTGTGGCATGTCTGGACAACATCATGCTTCCACCAGTTGAACAAACAAACAACGAACCGCCGATGCTCCACTTGCTGGGCCTTCTTGTAGATAAGGAATGATTTTTAGTTGCTAAACTACGACCCCCTCGGCTTCTTGCTTCCAGCATTGGCGGACGCAGGGATGATGGATCACAGCTTAATTTAGGAATTCGCCTTTCGGCAGCGGCAAAATTCAGCCTGACATCTCCATCTACACTGTCCTGTCTCAGTGGTGCATACATTGGAAGACTGATGGGTCGATTTACCTGAAGCTTTCGAGATGAAGGATTCATGGAGTGCAGTGTCATTTTCAGCTGCTCGTACGTGCTCCCTTCCGGCTCTTTCGAGTCAGCTCCACTGCCCGTAACCTGATGAATGAGAGAGAGAGGGAGAGCGCCAAGTCCTCATCAGAACAACAGAGTCATACGTCGACGGGACATTGCGGCGAGTGCCAAATAGATCTCCCGTGGCCTACCAACGATTCTACCTCTCATCTCGACAACATGCGACAACACGCCGCTGTGTGTCTACGCACACGTATGCAAGAAAACTCCGAAACGACCAAATCTTCTAACAGAACCGCGAATGAATTCTGGTGGAGCTACGATGACAATGCACAGCCAAGTAACGACGGGGGTCCGACTCGACATCTCGAAGCACAAAGAATTCCACCGTCGAAATTCCACCGTAACCGAATTCCGGCTACCAAGTCTGAGCTGAATCCATTCTTACCTGCTCCCAGAACCGCATATTTCCCGAACGCTGGTCTCCAAATCGCCGCGTGAATTTACATGCGGTTGCCAGAAATTGGATGAATCGGTCCGGTCCGATTCAAGCGAAATCGTCGCTGATAATCCTGCGCTCGCTCACTCTCTCACTCACTCAATCACTCACAGTGCGCAATTCGGCGCTCGCACGAGCCTCGCGACTCAAATACTGCGCTTCCGGACGGGAATCGTCGATCGTGCTCGTCGTCGCTGGGCCAGCTGCTTCAGGCGAAAGGTAATCAATCTTCCATGGCCCCAGCACCAGCAGACCTTCATCCCCAAGGGGCTCGCTCGACACAACAGCAACGACGCTGTCTGGCCCCCTAACGGTCACCAGGTTTGAATCCGCGCAGAACGACTCGAACGGTCCCATCGCCGGACCCGTCGTCCTCCAGGTGCCGGGATCGCGTGACAACGGCACGCTGGTCCCCGGCGTCGCTCGGGTGCGGGTTTCCCGGGCGACGGCGCGTCATCTCTCCGGACCCGGCGGTGGGGCCGGGGAAAAGGGGCGAGGCGATAAGTTGGTGGTAAAGCCAAAGTGCCGTTACGTTGTCTTGCGTTCTGGGGACTTCCTTGGGAGGAGGTCGGACGTCTTCTATATTCGGCGGCAGATCGTTCGTTCCGCGAACTGTGAAGCCCCATGCCCGTCATGATGAGCCCGTGATGACTAGGCGAGAAAGGCCCCACCGCGGGGCCCACCTCAGGCGGGACGCCGTTGACAGACATGTCGCGATCGACTGCTTCACGGATGAGGCCATGAGGCTGGCTGGCCCCCAAATCTTAATAATGGAAGAAAAGTTTGTGATCATCTAAAACATCAACTTTGTATTGTACTGCAGTGTACTTAGTCCCTCCTAAATATGTGGATTATTAGATTAAAACTTATAGTTCTGCATAATTCCAAAAGTGAAAACTAAGAATGAAGCATTAAACATTTCTCAAATATTTATTTTGCAAAATTTTAAATCGTATTTTTTTTTGCTTGCTGTACATTGATTAAAATGATTCATTATCCATCAGAAAAATTACATCAAATAGATAAATGTGAATTTTTTAATTTTTTCTTTATGTAAATCTAATCGTATAAAATCACGTAGAGTAAAACCAAAATCACATGCTGTATGAAATGTTATGTAAGTAAAAAAAACTAACAGATTAACTAGTTGATGATTAAATAATGCTATACTCATTTTATGGCAAAAGCGCAAGCTAGAACAACAACGCACAAGCCATACTACAACAAGACTTGATGAGATTTATCAAAATTAAACATATAAATAATTTTTAAGATTATTTAAAATAGATATTACACTTTTTATGCAATTCATGGTGGATGGGTTTAGGTTATACTTCCGAAAAGATACGTTCGTATTTTGCAGTAGTATTGATAGTGATAATAATTCCCAGTTCATGTCCCTCTTATAACGAATAAATCTACATGCAATATCTAATTTAGAGAATCAAAATGCAAGGAATGCCAAGTAGGTGATTGCTGTTGTTTAATCTATGAAAAACTATCTTACTTCTCCAAAAATTCAAAAGTAGATGAATATAACCTTAGAACTCAATTGAAAAATAGTATTGAATAAAAGTAAATCAAAGATCAATTGTGTTTCTCTGACCTTATGCTTATACACCATCCCTACTAAGTTCAAGCAAAGAGGCTAGGCGAAAGAAAAAATACCAAAGAATGTGCAGAATTCATGTATCAAAGCCCAAATACATAACAACTCCTCTTATGTTAATGAATAGGCCATATGGATATTCAAAGATGAGTAAATCTAATATGTATTATAAATCCACCCATAAACAAGCGAGCGGCTAGTTATCACTCATTAGCCCACACTCTATTATACGTTCTTTTTTCTTTATATTCTTTGATTCGTCACTGCAAGGGTTCTTGGGGTGAGTAACAATTATTTCTAAAATAGAATGCTGGATGAATCAGAGAAGAGCCTATAGTAACGTGAGTGCTAATTATCCCTAAGTAATAACTAGCCTCTCCCACGAACAAATGATGAAAGTCTCTAGCTATACACAAGTATCTCACCTCATGGCAAAAATCAACAAAGAGAGTAGATGTTATTATGGTCGTATGTGTAGGCACAACCCTCTTCGACACCTTGTAATGATGGTAGCTTAGGGACCGACAGGGTAGCTAGGACGCCGCCATTTTTGCTGTTGGTGGGTGCGCATTTCTATTCCTTTCCTTTTCCTTCATCCTGCTGTCGTCGCCGTTTTCCAAGCGGGCGAAATCGGTAAATTCTGCGGCCTCGGGTGGTTGAATTTATGGGCCCCCTGTTTCCTTGTATGCTACGCATTTCTTCTCGCTCAACGAAGCTGACATTTTCTTGTCGAATTTAGTCACGTATGCCTAGCATCCTACATCATTCGAGTGTATGCCGAGTTTGTACAATGTCCGCTTTAATAGACATGGGTTCAAGAATGAAAGATGGAAAATTCCATCTTTAACTCTTATGTTACTAACATCAGGTTTTGTACTATTTCCGAATTGTTATCTATTAACGTCCTAAAGAAGTCTCCATACCGATTTTCACATCTTCATTTCTAGTTCTAAATATGACCAATAATAAAACAAATTTAATATCGATGAAAAATTTCAATTTTTTTAAAATGCTATTTCATGAAAAAAACAAAAAAAAAAAATAAATAAAAATTTTAATTTAGAAATATCCGGAAAAAATAGAAGTACTTAAATTTTCTATTCTAGATGAAATGATACAAACACAATGTTCCAAGGTGTATTGGAAAAAAAAATCATGTTCAACAATTATTTTGAAATAAAAAATAAATGAAATTTCAAATTGAAAAATTTTAATCAAATTTCATTCAGATTGCATGATAACATCAAATTATTTGACTAGAGATCAATCCGTTTTACTCTTAAAAAAATTTATTTTCCTTCAAATAATATATATAAATTTATTTTGATAATAAAAAATAAAATCATTTTTATCACACGTGTTTAAAATATGGTTATTAGGAAAAAATATGTTAACATGATATTAAAAAATTCAATGTAATGTTATATAATTATCAATGCTGAGTTCAAGGTGTGAACTATGCAACAAACTTCCACAACTTATACATTTATTTCATTTATTCTGTTAAATTATAGACTGCAATCTATGAACATAAATATGTTCATTATTAAACACATTGACAATGTTAATACTTGCAATAAAATTCAAACTTTAGAGGTAATGAACTTATTTAGTTCATCTGCATAAATATATGCAAGTTTGTAAAAATCCAAAAATACATCAATATATGTGAAAAAAGATGCTAAGAGAATTGAATCTAATCAACACAAAGTTATCAAAATTGACATTACTAATGTGAGAGTCATGTTAACTTAGCTATATTCATAAATACTATTGTTTATTCTACTAGAGCTTCAATATTACAACCAGTGTTCTTGGATAATACTGGATGAACTAATAAAGCTCATTACAATTGAACAAACTATTACATACAAACTAACTAACATCAAACAAAACTTAAGATTTTGAAATGATTGATATGTATGTATAGACGTATTAAAATTTATGCTACAATCAATTACCAAAATTTTAAAATTTCAATTGAATAAATTTAATATTTATATTATTACTTACACATATACCTAATAAACATAAAAAAATACAAGTTTAAATATATGATATATATATATATATATATATGAATCATTTTATAATAATTGCATTATTATTATCCTAGATGAAACATTTTCTTTCTTAATTAATTCTTGTAATATGATTACTATGTAAAAATAATAATTATCTGGTTTTATTTTGATTTTAAAAAAATTATCAAACCATGTCTATTAGAATATATTAGATTTTAAAAGATCTATGAATACTTTTTGTGATATAAAAATAATTTTCCAATATATATATATATATATATACATATCCTTCATAAAAACTTTATCCTCAAAAAAAAGTTCAGAAAATTTCTAATATTTTATCCTCAAAAAATAGTTCAGAAAATTTCTAATATTATTCATTTTATCCAAAAAAAATTAAATAAATATGTATAAGCACAAATTTTTTTTTTCTTAAAGATGATTTCTTTCAGAGTACAAATTTTATCATATTCAATCTTTTCAATCATTTACCTAACCAGTAGTCAAGATTTCATTATCTTTCGATAAATTCATGTTCATGATATGGTTTTATTTAAATGTATTCTATTTAAGGTAAAAAAATTTATTTTCTTATTATTTTCTTATTTTTTATGTATTCATAAATTTTATTCTTGTTTCCTGATTGAAATTTACAATTCGAATAATGAGATCGGATCTCAAATTTTTTTTTAATAATTTTCAGAAATTTATTGATAAATTCTATTTATAGATAATTCAAATCTGGTAAGAAAATTAAATTTTTGGTTATGTGAGAATTGAAAAATCAAGGTTGCTATCGATAAAAAATCAAAATGACAGGAATATTTTTTTATCACGTCATGTCTTACAAGCAATCTATTTCATTTTTTTAAACCTTATAATTAGTATTTTTTTGGTGTATAGATTATAAGGAAATTTCATTAATTTGAATCTATAGGAAAATAATTTTTTCAGTTATTAATTTTAAATTAACTAGTTTGAATTGCATTAATATTTTCAAGTTAAATCAAGATAAAAAATAACAGAATCCTAATATATAAATGCAGATTGATCTTAATTTTTGTGAAATCAAACACATAAGTACAACAGTCAAATTTTTTTAAAAAAAATGAAAATATTAATGAAATATTTTCATGCTAAATCAACACAAATGTAGTTGATTTTTTATGTGCTTAAGAAATCAGACAATACTTTGCATTACAAATAATATAAATGGATTATTTACATATTCAAAGAGAAGTTCTCCAAAACATGATAATTTACTGCTCAATACTAGGGTTCGGAAGTATACATGTATAATCTATTTCATTATAAAAATTATACATGTATAGTATACGTATATTATAAACGGTAAAAAAAAACTTTATTCCTGGATCTTTCTGTTACCTACATAATTCTCTTCTCTCCGTTCTTCAGAGTCATGCAGATGCAGTCAGTCAATCAAATGTAGTTGCTTCTGTAGCCTGCGTGACTAGCGTGCCTGGCTAGGAAAACCAACCTTCCCTGTTCGGAAATATACATGTATAATGCATTTCATTATACAAATTATACATGTATAATGTGTATAATTTATTGTACATGTATAGATATAGGGCAAACCCTACTCAATACATAAGATTTTGGATTCAATTTGTTTCATTGAAGATG